CGGGCAGGCGTCAACGATGACCTATGGGGGTAATCGAAATTAATCACAGCTTTTACATTAAAAAATTGAAATAGTCAATGACTTCAAATAATCCTTCTCATCTTCCGTAAACAATTCACACTACTTTTTCTCTTTCTTATTCTCCAACTCTTCTTAACCAACTTTGAAAAGTTCAAATAAACGGAATAGCTAAATAACCTAATTAGGACAAAGCTACACAACATGCTAGAAAACAGGTAAAATTGTCACGACACATCTATATTAACCCAATATCCCTTTAGTGGCGAAAACACCTCAGTCCCCAACCGATTCTCGATCGGACGGTGGCGTCGCGCTTGTAATTAATGGCGACTCCCTCGGATTTGCTTTGGATGAACGACTGGAACGATTATTTCTTGAAATTGCCACCATGTGCATGGTTAGTTCATTATATCCTAAACATCTTTCTATCTAAAGAATGAGATTTATAGGCTGTAATCTGCTGTCGAGTGACACCCCTTCAAAAAGCACAGGTGGTAGATCTAGTAAAGCGGAATAAAAAAGCAGTAACATTGTCGATTGGGGATGGTGCAAACGATGTGTCAATGATCAAAACGGCCCACATTGGTGTTGGCATATCAGGTGTGTTTCTAGAATTTCTACTTTTTTGTTCTTCTCCAGTATGATTGTCTATTTTTAGGGCAAGAAGGAATGCAAGCTGTATTAGCATCCGATTATTCTATAGGACAATTTCGATATCTTGAAAGACTTTTATTAGTTCACGGCAGGTAATATAATCTTTATTGTTTTATACTTTTATTATGACTTAAGCCCGCTCTTAAGGTGGTCGTACATACGAATGGCAAAATTCTTGCGATATTTTTTCTATAAGAATTTTGCATTTACGCTAACACATTTCTGGTACTCATTTTTCTGCGGATATTCTGCTCAGGTAATACCTTAAAGTCTGTAAGATATGTCACAAATTTTAATCTTTGTTTTCAGACTGTCTTCGATGCGGTTTTTATCGCTTGCTATAACCTCTTCTTCACTGCTCTTCCAGTACTCGCAATGGGATCGTTTGATCAGGATGTAGACGACTCTTACAGCTTGCAGTAAGTGAAACTTCCCGGATTATCCTTCCCCTTTCATGCATCTGTCTCCTCATCCATTTATTTGTTTACTCATCCGTATTGTAAATCATTCAACTGTATGTTCATTAATCCAAACTATACATTCAACGCATTGCTTCATCCCACTCTTCATTCAGTCATTCATATATTGTACCCATACTTCAGCTTACTTATATCTGTTTTTATTCATTCATTCATTCATATATTTATTTATTTATTTATTTGCTTATTCATTCATTCATTCATTCATTCATTCATTCATTCATTCATTCATTCATTCATTCATTCATTCATT